GTGTGACCCTGCTGGTGCTCCTAGACCTCTCAGTGGCTTTTGATACAAGAGACAATATCATCCTCCTGGATCGCTTGAGGAGGTTAGGAATTGCAGGCACGGCTTTGCAGTGGTTCAGTTCCTTCCTCTTGGGCAGATTCCAGAGGGTGATTTTCAGGGACATTTGCTTGGCAAAGAAGGAGCTTAAGTGTGGCATCCCTCAAGGCACCATTCTGTCCCCAACTGTATTTAATATCTATATGAAGCCACTGGGAGAGAACATTTGGAGACATGGGGCAGGGTGTTATCAGTATGCTGATGACACCCAAATATATTTCTCCATGTCTCGGTCCTTGGCTATGACTTTGGATGGTGTCTCTCCTTTCAATGACTGTCTTAAGGCAATAATGGACTGGATGAAGAAAAACTGATTGAGACTGAATCCAGACAAAACAGAGGTACTCACAGTAGCAGCCCCAAAACCAGGTATTGGGATAAAACCTCCAGTCCTGGATTGGGTAACACTCTCCTCCAAGGATTGTGTTCCCAGTCTGGGGGTGCTCCTGGACCCATCGCTTCAAATGAATAACCAGATAAATGTGACAGTTAGGAGCACAATTATCAGCTTTGGCTGATATGCCAGCTGCACTGTTTCCTGGAAGTAAGGGACCTCAAAACTGTGGTGCATGTTCTGGTAACCTCCCACCTTGATTTCTGCAATGTGCTCTACATGGGGCTACCTTTGTGCTTGGTCTGGAAACTCCAATTAGTACAGAATATGTCAGCCAGGTTGGTCTCAGGAACAATGAGGGGAGACCATATAACACCTGTTCTAAAGTCACTTCACTGGCTGCCTATTAGTTTCCAGGCACAGTACAAGGTGTTGGTTATTATCTTTAAAGCCCTAAATGGCTTGAGTCCAACCTATCTTTGGGACCGTCTCCTTCCATATATTCCACCCCATGCACTCAGGTCCTCTGAGAGGAATTTGCTTCAGCCTATAAAAACCAGGCTGTCTGCAACCTTCCAGAGGGCCTTTTTGGCAACCACTCCCAGATTATGGAATGGCCTGCTGGATGAGATCCATCATATTACTAGTTTAAATAGCTTTTAAAAAGCTGTGAAAATGGATCTCTTCTGGCCTTAAGAGCTAGCCCATCCCTACTCCTACTCCTTATCGCATTTGCTGTTGGTTGTCTGCTCTGCCATTGCGACTTATCTTAGTTGTTTAATTGTTATTGTTTGTTGTTGTTTTAATTCTCTGTTGTTTAATACTATTAACTAATACTATTTTAAGGGGTGGGTGGATTTTGGGATTGTATATTTGTGATGTTTTATTGTTGCAGGCCACCCCAATTGCATCAACAGAGGGGTGGGATATAAATAATAATAATAATAATAATAATAATAATAATAATAATAATAGTTTCTGTCTATCAGGTCCTGTGGGATATCTAAAGCAGGAATCTATCCATCTACATTGCAATTCTCACCTTGGAAGTCCCTACCCTGGAGGGTTATCTCATACAATTTGGACTATTGGTCATGGGACACATGGACTTTGCCCCAGACTGAGTTTCCCTTATAATCCCAAATTTCTATTGTCCAGTGGACTAGCTGGTTTGCAGGTAGCCACTTTGTCACTTGTTTCTCCACTAGACCCAATCATCACTCATCACTCTGAGTGCTCAGGAGTGACTGAGTCCCACTAACATCCATCAGGCAGCATTGACAGGAGCAGCATCGCTACTGGTAAATATCTCCCTTAGTGAAGCCTCAACCTATTCCACTCTAATTCCTTTGGTTCTTAGTTTCTTGTGTGCTTGTATAAATGCATGTCAGTTCTCTCTCTGTCTTAATTCATTTAATAAAATATAATTCTTAGAGAATCTTGCTTCTGCAATTCTTTGCCTCTGACCTCCGTAAATATAGAGATTGGGTCCTAAGGCTGAGCAACCCAGCCACAATATATAGCAGTGGAAATTACTTTCTTTCTTTAACAACAGTTAAAAGAATAGCTTATGTGGTGGTGCTTCAGCAGAATTATGTAGGTTACACAGACTTGTGTATGTAATCTCTAGAAGGTTACTAATGTAACCCAAGCAACAGGAACTGATGTTCTTCTTGCCTTTCAAAACAAAAGACTCTTTCTCTCTCTCTCTCTTTGTATGTGTGTTTGTATGTGTGTTTTACTGGGATCCAATAGTGAGAAACAATGCACTATCTCTATCAGAAATTCCAATGGTCACAGTATGGTAAATAATCAACAGGAGTAAAAAAGTGGCACTAGCTAAAAAAGAGTATAGCACCCTGGGACTGTTACTTCTTCATTCTTGTGGACTGACTAACCTGTTCAGAACTCTCCATTTGCTGTATATACCATGCTGGTGTACGCTTTGGAAAGGAAGGTTTCTTAGCAGGCTTTACCTAGAGACTGTATGCCCATCTCCAAAAGGAAACTATGAAGAATGGCAAAGAGGAGAACTTGGGGGGGGAAAAGGATGATGACTCCCAGTGCCCATGCTGCTTGGAAATTTGCAGAGTTCTACTCCAAAAACTTTTGTTTTCCCCTGCAGCTCTAACACTGCAGGACTAATCCAGTTTGACAGCACTTTAACTGCCATGGCTAAGTGCTATTAAATTCTGGGAACTGTAGTTTTGTGAGATGTTTACCTTTCTCTGTCAGAGAGCTCTGGTACCACAACAAACTACAATTCCCAGGATTCCATAGGATGGAGCCATCACAGTTAAATGTCTCAGCCTGGATTACTTCTGCAGTGTGGATACAGCCATAGCAATTCAGCTGTGCAGCAATGTGAGCAAGTGACATCTGAAAGCTCTCAAGAGCTTCTCTGTGTTTTCTGTAAAAAGTAATTGAAAGAAATCTTTCTAAATTGACATAAAGGTC